ACTTAAGTAGTTCTGGCCTGTGGCATGCTTTACTGCTCCCACTCGTTAGTTTCTTTATTTATTTTCTTTGCTTTATACAATCAGTAGTGTGGATAACTCGGTGCACGTTAAAGGCATGCCGGAAGTAGGATCGCTCGAGTCCCATACTGTTTTTTCTTCCAAACTTGTAGCTGTCCTATGCATCAGTTCTATGTCTCATACATACCTTTCATTCTCAGTGTCTGTCAAACTATTCCTTGTACAGATACGGTCGACGGAAAAGCATGTGGACGGCCACCTTCATCATGTTCTGTGGGACTGTGGGGTCGGCAGTAGCCCCCGTTTTCTGGGTGTACATAGCCTTCAACACAATGTCTGGGTTTGGTATGTTCCCGGTCTTCCATTCCTTCTCTCTCTCTCGTCTTGCCTGAGCGTTGCCTGTTACTTCTGCTTCATTTGGTTTCTGTGTCCGCCTACAGTATGTCCTGAAGTACTGGGAAGTCGACATCGTCAGTAGTAACTAATTTTCGGACGCGTGTGTGTTTAGCTCGTTGTTTGTAGTCGTATGTCTCTCTGTGGCTTCTATGCTGCTATCTGTCGGGTCGTTATGCCTTGTGTACTGTTGGCGTTTGCTTTTAGGCTGAGCGCGATGTGTGCGTGTCAGTGTTGGTATAAAAGACGATACTCACTACGCGTACCAACCACGGTAGGGTTTACTTGTGAGACTCTGTACTACTGTACACCCCTATTTCGATTATCATTTACTAGATGATTTACGAAGCCGTTATATTCGTTCAAATCCAGAAGATATACAAAGTCTCAAGATTCTTTCCGACTGTTTGCTTTTGATGATAGAACATACGTTGCGCGTGCTCTCTGCAGTGTTGAGTTGTCTGGCTGTGACCCAGAGCCATGTACACTTCAGTCACCAGCTTGAATAATCGCAGATCACTATGGTTTGATTTTAGAGACTTTGGAAGTGGGTCGAGAAAGTTACACTCAACACACTGAGCCACACATCGCAACGTGTCGGAACAACTTAAACAACGTATCTGCCATACTATCGTATACATAAATCTCCCTATACATTA